ACATTGAAAATGTAAAATAAAGAATATATGAAGTACATACAGTATATATATACATATTTCAAATACTTAAAATTCTTATGTAAAATATGATTCTTCTATATTATTTGTGTAAAAATACATTTTAAAATGGTGTCAACTTGATTTTTCTGTACATACCCTCTATTCCAATTTAAGTCCCTTTTAAAAAGGCAAAAGACAGACAAAGGTTTAGTATCTTCTGAACTGCGTTTACAGGCCTGTTGTCAAAACAAGAAAAGCACGTGGTAAACAGTATTGGATTTCTTCTGTTTAAGAATTCCCATTTTTATTGCATTAATGGAAAAAACGGAATCTTTTCAGTTCTCCTGCTAGTAAAACTATTCTTGGCCTTGCTGAGAAACTGCATACTCCCAGTACCCTGTTTATCTAGTTCATAAATCATCCTTTGTCAATTTTTTTTTACAGATACTAAAATATATATTACTTAAAATATATTACTGTAAGCTCTTAAAATTGATCTTCAGTTATATCAAATGTATAGCATTAAAAAAAAACAACCTAGGTAACAAAGAAAATTCTGGATACCATCATCCTACCAAATGCTCCAGCTGTTCTCCCTGCGAGATACCGGTGGGAACAGACCCGGCGTCTGCCAGGACCTCGCCCGCCAGGTTAACGCTGCACACAGCAGGTTAGCCGAGGCTGCACCTCAACGCGCCGGGGTGCCGGAGGCAGCAACGTCCTGGGAGTGGTCGTCTCCCCCACCGCGGCAATTAACCCGTGCTCATCGCCGGAGGTAATTCAGTGCGCACGTGCCATCCCTTCCCGCCTACCGCCACTGCAGCCACCCGCGTTTTCGGACGTGGGCTTCTGGATGCTCCAGCCAGCGCCAGCCCAGTCAGCCCTGGCTGGGGAGAGCGGAGCACCCTCCTCCGCCAACGCCTGAAACCAACAGAGCCGCTGAGGCGAAGCCAGGCGCTAACGGCCAGGGGTGGCTTTCAAACAACCGAGCCTAAGCAAAACTCCCACGAAAAACAAAACAGCTTCCCCAGGGCTGCAAGCGCCCCTGGTGAGACGGTTCCAACGAAGAAAGCTGCTGGCCCTTCAGGCCCTTCCCTGGAAAAACCCCCAGCCCGTTTCTTTTCTCCAAGCCGCGGTGCTGTCAGATGACACAAGCGCAGTCTGCCACCAGAGCGGTGGTGGGCTCTGCCTCCAGCCCGACCACGGGCCACGTGCTGCAACTGCCTCTCGCGCCACTGCCACGTTAGCGTGGCTGCGGAGCGCTGAAGACCGACCGCCCCCAGTTTCAAAGCCGCGGTGCTGTCAGATGACACAATGCCACCATGCCACCAGAGCGGTGGTGGGCTCTGCCTCCAGCCCGACCCGTGCTGCAACCGCCTCTCGTGCCACTGCCACGTTAGCGTGGCTGTGGGGGCTGAAGACCCGACCGCCTCCAGAGGAGGGGGGGGG